CTTGAGCATGAACTTTGTAGATTACAATGTTGTGTCGCATTGCCATGTAAAGTAAACATTGGTATGTTCTCTTAGGATTATTATGTGAGGATTTTTTTGCTTATCTGTGGTGGCGGATATCACAAAAATTATGCACAGAGTGGATGTTGTTTGGGTTTTTTTTTTTTTTTTGCTCATCATTTTTTGTTAGTATTTGTGTATTTAATGTATGGCCCAAGACAATTCTTCTTCTTCCAATGTGGCCCAGAGAAGCCAAAAGGATGGACACCCATCTTTTAAAACTTGTTAACCATGCAGAGAGCCTTGGCTAGTGGGTGGACATGATCCATCGGATGGATGGATGGATGGATGGAAGGCGGCGGCAGCCACTTCTGTATTTGCGATTGCACTTTTTCCTCACTGCTGTCACTGCAAAAGCTGTGAGTGTATCACTTCCATGTCCATCTACCATTTTCAGTGGGGGAGATCACCAGGAACTTACATCTCAGGGGAAAGTTGAGCTGCTCAACTCCATTCCCTCTAGATGTGTTAGTAAGAAGATTTGTTAGTTCCAAAGCAGCTCCCTGCAACCTGGTACCTTCCAAAATACTTGGGACTCCAAACTGGGGCTATAATTCCCTGCAGTCCTGACCATTGACCATGCTGGCTCGGACTGATGATAGTTTTAAATCCAGAACATCTGGTGGCAGCAAGTTGGGGAAGGCCACTCCGAACGATCACTGCAGCTTGCCCCGGTTTAACACCTTCCAGGTGTGATGGTTAATGGCCATGCTGGCTGGGGAGGAGAGCATTTCAGCGAGGCTGCATTAGCAGGTCTTGCTTGTGCCCATTGCCTGAGGGTGCTCTGGAGGCTCTTGCTGCAGTTCTTCTGCTTAAACTAAGCGAGTCTGACTTCATCTGCTTGAACTTAAAATAGACTTCATATACCACATGGATACGTGAGTGTGGGCTTTGCTACACAAGGCATTTATTGTGCACTCATCCTTCCCTACTTAGGGTTGTTGACAGGTTCTTTGTGACCCCACCTACCAGTTCTGCTGCTGGGTCAAAGCAGCATTTTCAGTGCTTTTTTTAAAACGTGGCATTTCATTCTGAAAATAAAAGAAAGTACGGTTTCCTTTTCTGCATGTGCTCTATTCCACTATGCCACAATCTCACCTAGGGCAGAGGAGGAAGAAAGAAGACACCCTTCATCTCGAGCACCAATCCCAAACCTGCATCACAACTAAAGTAGGCACAGCAGATTAACAGAAGAGTTGCAGCCTCTGTAGAAAAGCTCCACTTGAGAACAGCACAAAAGCCTCCCTGAGCTTTTCTAAAGAGAAGTTGGCCAGATGTGTGATACAAGAGTCACTTGGAAGAGCCACTGCTAAGAGGGAGAGAAAGTCAAAGATCATAAAGACAAACCCAAGATGCTAGACCAGAAATATAACTTTATTATGAATAACAGTAGCTTCTCGGCAGCAGCAGGACTCAAAACTGAGAAATAAAGGTCTCTGTTCTGCAGCAAGACAGACCAGTCCACCCACCCACACAGCAGCGGCAGCAGCGGCAGCAGCACTGAGAGCTTTTCTTTGAGGTTTCCGTGAGCGCAAGCTTCATGAGCAAACCAAAGCTGGACAGAAATGGAGGCTTTGCGTCTTTTCTCTCGGCTGGCCTCTTGCCTTTCATCCTCAACGTGAAGAATTTGAACTAGTTTCCTGATTCTTTATCCCTTTCCTCAGGGCATGGTCCTCAATGCTTCCTCAGCATGATGTTAGCTTAGGATTCCTTAGCAAGCAACATAGGAAGCTGCCAGGTGTTCCTTCACCCAAGCAAGGATCTCATGGTGGCTCTCCATAGAGGACACTTCCTTCCATCCATGCTGTGGTGCACCCCTCTCAAAAGCTTGGAGAAGGTCATTTGAAGGCCACCGGGCATGTGCTGCTACGTCACCCTAACCTATAGGAGATAAATCAGGGTGGGCAACATGCCCTCCAGATGTCATTGATCTGTTACTCCCATCAGATCTGGTCAGTATAGCCAGGGATGAAGGCTCTTAGTGGCTACAGCCTAACAAGGCTGTACAGCAACATTCCCCAACTGAGGGACAGATCGTTCGCTTCCCAAGGGCAGTGTATGTAACTGTGATGACCAGAAGAAGCCGAGAGGAAAGAGCCAGTTGCATTCCAGGGCAGCCTTCTCCAACTGATGCTCCCCAGTCATGTCAGACAACAACGCCCATCATGCCCATCATGCATGCCCATCATGCGTGCTCTGGCCTGATACACTGGAAGGTGGGGAGAACTGAGCAGTGTCAGAATCCCAGCGTGTCTGCACAGGCAGCCTTTGTACCTCAGTGGTGTTGCCAACTCCAGAGGACAAACATGGCATCTGAATGCTCACATTTGAAAGCAACCACGTGCATTGCTCTTCCTGATCATGTCTGTCCCGGAGCAAAGGGTTCATTAATTTCCTTCTCTGCAGAAATGAAAAAGGGGTGAGCAGAATGCAGCACAAGCCTTTCTTTGCTTGAGAAGTATGGAATCGATTTAGCTTCCTAAGTGAGCCCCTTCCTCTTTCTCTCCCATCCCCATCACCCTCCAAAAGCTAGAACGGTGCAAGAGAAGGGGCTGCCGCGCTCACCATTTCCTTTCTAGAAAGGCCTTGAGGCCAGCCTTTCCAACCAGTCACTCACTGGGTGTGTCGAGCCAGGACTCCCATCATCTTCGGCTAGGAATGATAGAGGCCTTGGTATGACATATCCAGAAGGTGCCAGGTGGGAAAGGCTGCTGTGGGGTTTCGCTGATCCCTAAGCAGAGCACTATCAGGAACTCTTTGTACTAGACTCTGCACAAGATGTGAATAGGCAACCAAAGTAACCCACAAGAGTACAGTAAACTCTGGGGCGTGCATCCAAGCGCAAGGCTCTGGGCATCGATCCGGTGAGGGCAAGGCACCTGCCCCACAGGAAAGCACATACCAGCATGCCCTCACCAGAGCAGAGGTCTTTGGCTGTGCTCACACTTCGAGCGCACCAGTAACTATCCTGGACCTCTAAACCATCTGAGCAGAGGTGATTAAGGGCTTTTCAACAAAAGGCATCTATCATGCTTCCGTCTTTTCCCTGCTCACAGTTGTTTATTGGTTCTTTGGGGAGAGTTGTGTGCCTCCAGCTTCGCTCCTGTAGCTAAACAGCACTTCCAGGGAGCTGTGTTTTTGTGTCTAAGAGTAGGGAAGAAGAGCATTTAATTCTAAATGTGAAAGAAAGCATTTTTCACTTGTGCATTTGTGCTAGTCTCCTTATACTACAGTGCCACCTAGAGGTTATGTAGTGGAAAAGCAGGAAAAGAAAGATCTGTGTAGTGCTTGGATTTTAATTCTGCAACAGAAGTGACATTGGGTACAGTGAGTTAACAGCCAATTAACATCCTTGTGTAGGAAAGCTCTTAGTACCTGGCACTGGCGGCACCTGCCAGTAACCATGGAAAGAGTATAAATCTCTAGGTAACACCACAGTACAAATGGTATATACTGCTTGTGTTAAACCTCATTAAGGAGTTCTGGACAGAAGTAGATCATGGAGACTTGATTTCCTCTACCTGCTTCCTACTATCATGATCAGGACCAGCAGAGTTGTCCCTGGAACAGTTCTGCCCCCTCAACTTAGTGCCATTAGGATGTTGGGACCACAACCCCCAGCATTCCTTGCCCTTGGCAATGCTGGCCGGGGATAGTAGGAGCTGAAGCTCCAAATACCAGGCTGGAGAAAACTGGCCTAGAAGGCATTAGCATTGTTGCCTGGTGTAGGGCGCCATTTTGGTTCAGGCTCTGTTGCGCTGCTTCTGTTCCCCCCACACTCACTTCACAGTATATTGCGCTGAGCTCCACAAATGAACAATTACGCAGCGAATTGCAGCCAGTGCTTATTAGTCAAGCATTTGCTTCATCCTGGAGGAATTCTTCCCAGACCGAGGGATTAGAATTGGCGAGAAGGTTGTTCCAATCAGATAGTGGAAGTTCTCTGTGACTTGCTCTGACTCAACTTATTGAAATTTTGAGAGCTCATCTTACCATCAGAATATTGCGTGGGTCGGCATGCTGAGGTTTGTACCTGTCTGAATTCACTTAGGAAACATGGTTAGAGGGATTCTTGCCATAGCAGGGAATCTAGAATGGAACCGTTCATCTCCCTGACGCTGTTGCAAAATTATTGGAACAAAACAAAAAAAGAGAAAAAGCAAAAGGAAAGTAGGGGGCTCAGAATGGTACAGTGATAAGTAGGGGGCATGAGTCATGCAGTAAATTCCACAGTGCAATTTGGCGGAAGCCTTATTTGGGGCACAAGGACTCAGCGTGTGGAGTGATTTTAATAAGGCAGCATCTCTCCCCTTTTTTGCTATTCCCCTTTGGGACTGCTCCCCCCCCCCCCCCACAGCCTTGCAAATTGAAAGGCCACATGGCAACAGCACTAAGTATGTTTACCAAGGAGTATTAACCTCTGCAGGACTTCCCTTGCATAAACATGCTTAAATTGTTCTGTGCATTTCACTAGTATTTGCAATTCCTAAAAAAATAGAAGGCATGGGAACACGTATTCTCTCCCTCTTTCTGGCTCTTTAAGTGGGACATTCTCGTGTGCAGTGTGCATATTAATTGCCATAACATGGCACTGCGTTTGCCTGGTTCATACCCCTTGGAATTAGTAGAAAAGACACTTCCACTGACTCTGGTTGAAGCTCCTAAGGCTGCAATTGTAGGCATGTTTAGGCAGAAAACACTCCTCTCATGCCCAGGATCTTGCCCTAAGCCTCCTTTCCTTTTTCAGTACAGTTAGTCATTGAAGAAGCCTCCCCCGGCCCCTCAGCACACGGGCAGCAACACAAGCCCTAAAAGAAACCACGCTGAAGTTATTGGCTCGAACGACACAGTGGCAAGTAGCCACTGGAGGAAGCCAATTTTGCAGTTGCACGAAAAGGCATCGGCAGGGTGGATGAAGGGGAGCCGGCTCCGTGTTTACGCTAGCTGATAATGTTGAGTGCGTCAATTAATGAGTGAAGCTCGTCTCGCACATTCTCCAGGGAGTGGTGGATCTTCTGCGGGTGGTCCAGGAGCTCAATGCTGTACGTGTACGGATCATACTTCACAGAAAACGGACGCTTGATATGTGATGCGTAGGCCCTGCAAGGGAGAGGAGGAGAAGCAAAGGCAGCTAGCCTAGATGGACCAGAAGGAAGGCAGAGGAAGGTGCATTGTGCCAGCCCATTTCCCCCACTCCTCTGATGTTTTGGGCCAGGGATGCGCAGAATGCAGATCTCTGGGTGGTTTGCTCCCAGCATTTCTGATCACTGGCCCTGTTGGGACAGGCTTCTGGGAGGGGAAGTCCCAAAGCCCTGCAGAACAGCTTTCTGCCCCCCCCCCCTCCATTTTAGATGGAAGCTTCCAACATCTGTGGCCATTGACCCTGCTCGCTGCTGCTGAGGAGAGCTGCATTCCAAAGCACCCCAAGGGGGGCTGCACTGGGAAAGGCTGGCATGGGCATTCCCATCCATCTTGGGATCAGACCTGTGGCTCCTCCAACACATAGTCTCCTTGCCTACGTTTTGCATTTAAAATACACATCAGTTTCAAGAAAGTTAATGTATCCTTCCCATCATTTAAAATGAAAAGGTGGGATTCTGGTTTTTTCTTCTGTAAGTTAAGTGGTGCATCTTTGAATATGAAAAAAAAAATTTTTTTACACTTCTAGTGATGGAGGAAGCTGCCTTGTACCAAGTCTGACTGGCGGCAGCTGTCCAGCCTTTCCAGTACCATTGAATCTGGGACCTTCTCCACACCAGGCTGACGCTCTGCCATTGGGCCACCAGTTCCTGAGACTTGATGGGATGACCTGGGATCTCCCTTCTGCAAGAGGAAAGCCCCTTGTTCCTGGAAGGTCCTTCTGCCCCCTTTGGGGGAAGCCCCTCCTGCCCCACAACCTCACCATGCTCAGCAGCCTTCCCTGACTCTCTGGACTGGTTCACACGATTTCCAGCATGGTGGCTTCTTAGCCATGCCATGTGGCTGCTTGGCTTAATCGCCCTTGCCAGCACAGCATACTGTGTTGCCTGAACATGGTGAAAGCGGGTCTCTTTGCCCTGGTTAACAGGCCATCCACGAGTCATGGGCTGTGTCTGGACTGTGGGTGGTTTGTTAACAATAGCAATAACCCACCTGTATTGAATTCCCACATCAAACCACAGGGATCGGAATATTCAAGGAGGCCGAAGGGGCTAGCATAGGAAATAGGAAGCAGAGGGTCTGCTTCCATCCGTGCAGCTGATGGATCCAGGCGTAGACTAGTAGCACTGACTATATCACAATTTTCCTTTATGCACATTACACTTAGAAACATCAAAACATAGCATCAGAGTGAGTCAGAAGGGGTCTCCCGGGCCATCTAGTCTGACCCCTGGGCCCAGCCAGCTCTGCTCATGACATGCCTACCATGTTCAGGTTTAGAAACTATCAACAGTTTCCCAAAATGGTATTATTCACTGACACTCAACATGGATGACATAACCATTCTATAAGGTACTGGCTTATGTCTAAGCAGAATCTTCCTAGGTTCTAGCCTACTTTTTGCAAGAAGTAGAATTACAGAACCCAGTAGCATCTGTGCTTTTGTGTGTGTGTGTGTGTGTGTGTGTGTGTGTGTGTGTGTGTGTGTAGAAGTCTGAAGTTCCCATCTATTGTCAGGAAGGAAGGACGGATGGATGGACGGACGGACGGAAGCTGCCACTACCTAGGGCTGAGCAATTACACCACAAATGCAACCTGTCTTGGCAACATAGATTTAGGAAGCAGTGCAGCAGCTGAAGTTCTAGCCTCCATTCAGCCATGACGCTCAACTGGTGACCGGGCCAGTCGCAAACTCTTCGCCTAATTGACCTCCCTGGGGTCTGGGAAGAGTAGAATGGAGAGGAGGAGGATCAGGTTCATTACTTAGGTTTGCTTAAAGGAAAAGATAGAATGTCCATGTGAACGAATAAGTGAATAAATAAATAATAAAGAAACGACAATGCTAATTAAAAGGAGGGAAGTGAGGGCTAGAAAGAGAAAAGTGGGCAGTTGCTGTCTGTCATACGCAGCACAGAGTGTAGAAAGCAAAGAGGCTGAGTTAGGTTGGGAAAGTGACCTGGAAGCCAAAGTCTCCCTATTATATTATGTGCAAACATACCAAACCAGACCTTTGGTCCATCTAGCTCAGTGATGTTAACTCTGGCAGGCAGCAGCAGCTCCCCAGGGTTTCAGGCAGGATCTGCAGCCCTACCTGCAGATGTCTGCGATCAAGCCCGGGATCTGCAATGCATGCAAATGAGTTTTGACCTCTATTCCTCCAGCCTCAGCTTCCACGGTGCACTGGCTTTTCTGATAGGCACTTGAGCAGGTGGAAGGGATTTCTCCTACCTCCCTTAAATAAAAACCAATTCCAGATGATGAAATGACAATCCTGACAACCCATGAAACACAGATTGTGATTAGCAAAATCTGTACATCCTTAAGCATGACCACGGAGGGTACCTGCTCATAGAAGGATGTGCTAGCCCATGAAAGCTCCTGTGGCAACAGAAGCAGCCATCTACCGCCTCATTGCTTATGTTATAGCCCCCTCTAGTGGCAAGTTTAATAACATTCGGCTGCAATGCATATGCAAAGGGAAATGGCCATCGTTCCTTTCCTGGCCTTTGTTCCGTCAAGGCCTTTACTTGTAGTTCTTATTGGCACCCGTATTTAGCAGACTTTTGGGTGAGAAGGGACACATTGTGAGGGGTATCCTCACCTTCTGGGATCCTGCTACAAGTGAGAAATAAGGTGGTGAGCGGATTCAAGGGGTGTGCTATACCTTACATGCAAGCAACATGAAGCCAGTTTGCCCCATTTGTGATAAGAAAAAGATTCTGCAAATAATGAAATCTGTCTCCTCCCAACTCCAATAAAGGAAAAATAGGAATATATGCAATATTGGCTTTCTTATCAAATCTAAACTTATTTCACTGCTTAGCAACATAGAATGCATAATTTATAAACAGTGTAATCCTATATATTTCTACTCAAATATAAGTCCCATTGAGTTCAGTGAGGCTTTCCCCCAGGAAACTGGGTGCAGGTTTGTTGCTTTACTTAACATATAACATTGTACTACTTGACATACTTATGATGCTTAGGGCCCAAGCCAGTGGGAATGTCTATAAGCCTCCAAATTTGCCTTTCCACTCCTCCCACTCGCCAAGTCAACTAGATGGCTAAAAGTGGCTGTTTAGCTGCAGTGCTTCAGGAGGGAAGAAAAGGACATGAGGTATCCTGGCAGCCCCAGTCTCCTCCCCGCACCCACCCCCCTCTTTTCCCCTTCTCCGAGGTTTCTTTTATGATGCTGAAGAATCATAGAATAGCAGAGTTGGAAGGGGCCATGAAGGCCATGGGGTCCAACCCCCTGCTGTTGCAGGACACCAGCTTACACCATCCCACTCAGATGGCCATCCAGTCAGTTTTGGAATGACTCTAGTGTGGGAGAGCCCACCACTTCTCTAGGCAGCTGGTTCCACTGCCTCGTTGCTCTGACAGTGAGGAAGCTTTTCCTGATGTCCAGCCTGAATCTGGGTTGTTGCAACTTGAATGGATTATTGCATGTCCCGCACTCTGGCATCAGCAAGAAGGGATCGTAACCTTCCTCTTTGTGACAGCCCTTGAGGTATTCATGCTCTACTCCAGGCTGAACATACTCTCTTACCTGAGCTTAGCTTTGGCATCGCTGAAGCTCTCCGATACAAAATAGACTGGTTGGTAGGTCTGATCTTGATAGGGTTGCACAGCGGTAGAATCAGGGTCAAAATCCCGTAGTTCTGGTTCGTCTGACAAAGAATGCTGAATGAAGAGTAGAGGAAAGCCAAAACGTTTTGCAGGAAAATCCTGAACATGACCACCCTGGATTAGTCCATGGGACAAGCTAAGTGAAGTGCTGACAAACCAGTCAAGTCAAAGTTATTTCTTCTCTAATTTTTCCAGAGTAAAGTTCTTTCTATCCCATTTCCACATCAGCTTGCAAAAACTATTTATATTTTATATCTGCATGAAAATGTGTATGGATTTTTGTGCCCATTTCTCAAAGCGTACTGATGCATGTTTGCATGCGCTTTTCCAATTGTACATATTTTTGCAGTTGGTGATTTTCTGCTAAGAAGAGGAATTCTTGTATGCACTTCTGTGTATACAAGAATGCACTTCTGTGTATGCAAGATACAAAATCTTGTGTGCATTTTTCTGTTTCAAATCAGTGAACTTTGGAAGATGGAATCAGCAAACTTTCCAGTGATGGAAACGTATGAATATGGATGCTTAGCTGCATTTGGGGGCTTGGTTTGTGTAAACTGGGAAAGTGGGGATTCATGCATGTACTGGGAAAGCAGGCACACTCATTAATCCAGTTTGGAGAAGAGTTGGGTGGAATGCATCAGGACTTACTATCAGCTCCCCATAGGAGGAGAGCAGACCAGCTCCATAGGCTTTGATCATTCCATTCTGCTTGCAGAGCCCAAACTCCACAGTGAACCAATAAAGCTGCAAGAAAAAGGAGATTCCAAAGGAATTCAGATACTCATTATGCTGAAGACTTCATTAACTCAACCCACACACCTCCGAGATGAGGGTTCCACCTGCTAATTTTTGCACTGAGGATGGCAGCTTTCCTGCTGAACTGCAGAATCTGCTTTAAAAATATAGCCTGCCCTTCAGAGTCATCAGGAAATGCGAATTACCTTATTTTAGGGGGTTTTCTAATTCATTTCAGAGGGGTTCCCCCCTTTCTTTGCACTCTAGCTTTGACATATTTGAACACTAGATCTTATTGCCTCATTTTCTGCTAGTGTTCAGATCTTCTGGGACGTCCCAACTCTTATCTGCCAGCTCTTTGTCATCTATATTATTTATTTATTTATTTATAAAATTTGTATGCCGTCCATTACTTCCATCTCTGGATGGCTTACAACATGAATTGGAATAAAATAAACTAACTATTCCATGCTAGCTGAAAATCCAATAAAATACAAACAATAAAATCCAATTAATACACATTAAAATATTGATCGAATAAAAAGGTCTTGACCTGGCACCGAAAAACATAATGACGGCGCCAGATGGACCTCTCTAGGGACCTCTCTGTGTAGCAGAGAGCACTGTGCCTTTATTATAGAGATCCCCCAGGGAGGGTCTGGGGGAAGGCAGAAAGGAGGAACTTAAACAAAAGCTGTGCTGAATTAAACCAGTGCCCATCATGTCCAACATGCTGTTCATGCTTTGTCAACCAGTTGCCTGTGGAAAGTCCACAGGAAGGGCACAACTGCTCAGCTACTGGCGTACCTCCAGCTGAGAAGGATGCTGGAGGTAGTCCGTAGCCACGGAGCCTAGAAGCCATTGATAGCCTGCTCTGCCATGAATTTGCCCAACTCCTTTTTAAGGACATCCAATTTGTGACCATCACTGCATCTTGGGAGGGTCGCTTTGAAAGCAAACATCTGAGCAATGATGCAGAGCGACGGGAAGTGTGGCACTGCAAGGTGAAGGCAGAGAAGGGGAAGGAGATCTTAATGGGAGGCCCCTTGGGAAGTGCTGGAGGATGGAGCATTCGAAGCTCAAACTCCTCCTGATGTTGGTTCCACAGCCGCTCAGCAAATGTTAGCTTCTTATTTACTCTTGTGAAAATGTGTACTAGCCCAAGCTGGATCCAGCGAGGAGGATTTAATATCCTCCCACCATTTTCTTTCAAAATTTGCACACAGACAAAACAGAAAGCAGGCTTTAAAAAAATGTCTTTAGAACTCTTTTTTAAAGTCTGAAAAAGAAATGGCATCAAGCTATTTTAAGCCTTTTGGGCTAAAAAGCATCAACCTTGTCCAGATTCCCCAGCAGGTGAAGTTTTTGGTGACCACCAGGCATCTTTCTCATTCCCCCAGCACAGAAAAAAAATCAGTTGGGAACAAGACTGGTGTATCTAGAGGTTGATCTAATGGAAACAAAGGCTATTTTTAATTTTTAATTCCACAATTAAAGCCTTACTGTTGCAAGTTTTTCAATCTCTTCATCAGTTGCTCCCAAAGATGCAAGTCCAATATCCTAGGAGGAAAAGGAAGAATACTTACTCACAGTTGATCATATGTGAGAGGGCATGCTGAGGACGGAGAAACTGGTGATCATTGTAGCTACAACATGAGCAAAATCCATTGAGAATAGCTAGCTAAATCTACTATCCAACTTCTGTGCCTCCCCTGGCCTGCTGGCTTCATCCTGTCTTACCACATCCTTCTCATTTGCAGTCCTGCAATACACTCCAACCGGGAAAAGTCAGGACTCATGTGTTCTCTATACCAGGGAGGGATAGAAGGCCAGTCTCTGGATGGTTTGGCTTCTGCCCGCATGACCAATATTCAGGAATACTGGGAACAGAAGTCCAGAACATCTATGTTCTGCCCATCCCCACTCCATGCCAGCTTTTCCCAACCAGATGTCCTCCTCATGTGTTTGACTACAACTCACATCATCCCCAGGCCACATGTTCTGCAAGGCTACTCTGCACACACATCCATAGCTCCTCATCGCAGCTCTTCCCTGGAGGATGCGAGGTCTCGGCAGAAATGCACTAGAAAAATTCCCATCAAGCATAGACTGAACTTGCTGCACATGGTGATTCACACCTTGCTCACCTGGGAAAATTGTGCAAAGGTCTTGTCTGCTAACATCGGTACATGTCCCAGAAGTTCATGGCAACAGTCGCTTTGCAGTGAGAAGAAACAGAACGAATCAGCTGTGGAGTCTGACAAGCAAGCCAGATACGAACAGTTTCTTGTTCAATGAAATGAAAGAAGTCAGGCAAATAGTGCTTACGGCTCTGGGGAATGCATGGGAGAGGAGGCATGGCGGATGTACTGTGTACACTGAAACACCCGAAAGGCCAAGCTGCTTAGGAAGTCGCGAGCAGATAGAAGACCAGCTACAGGTCGGAGCTGGAACCCAGTTCTCTCTGAAACCAAAAAACAAACACAGAACAGAACACCCTTTGGCACTGGCTGCATTTCAGCACTATTTCTTAGAATTGCACAGTCGGTCCCAACTCAAGAAATTATTTTCTGTTCCTAAACATGAGAGCGGGAGTGGGCAGGCTTAGAGTTAAGAAGAAAAGTAACTTTTCCAATCTATCAATTCCCACAGAAAAGAGTATTTTAAAAAGTTTGCAAACAGAAATGCCTTCCAAGCTGCTTTGGAACACCAAGCAGGTAAAGATTAGCTCGTTTGCAAGCTAATACTGTCCCTTTTATCTCCCATAAAGCAAGTGTTGACTCCTTGGGGACTCCATAGCAACTCTGAGTGCGGCCTTGCCTCACCTTGCCTCATCACACCTTGCTTCTCCCCACTCATTTTCTGCACCCCCATGTGGTGGGGGCAAAGATGGCTTCCCACCCCCCCACCGCTGTAGCTGGAATTTTCCACCCATAGCCATTTTCCTTCCAGACTGAGATATGCACCAGATTTCAATTTGTAGCAGACCAGGTGATAGCATCCTCAGCGCGACTTCCAGATTTTGGGGGCTTCCCTAGGCAGGATTCCTCCAATGCCTTCAGTGGCCCTTTCTGCCGGTGGGTCTCCCTTCTCACCGCCGTGGTCCCAGTTGCTGCCGCTCATCCTCACCCACATCATTGCTCCGGCTTTCTTGCCCGACCAGCAGGGAGCCAGGAGGAAGGAGCATCTGCTGCTCCTCCGTCTCATCACTACGTTTGCCTGCGCTGGAGCGAGAGGCTGCTGAGCAGGCCGGTAGCGCTGGGGAAGCGGAGGGGCGAGTCCGGCGGCGCTTCCCTGCTGGAGCATCACCCCCCACCCAGTGCTCAGCCTTGCCCACCCTTGACACTTCTCCCAAACTTGTTGTTCGGGGTCGCTATTTGCTTTGCTGTTGAACAAGCATATACTCCTAAGGGCATTCTCACAAGTCAGATATGACATTATGATGGAGCTTTTCTTTTTAAATGATTTGCCCATATCAAGTGCCAAAGAATCTACTTTTTATTTCTTTCTATTCAGTGGTCTGAATATACCATTTGGCAATGCAAGCTAACCTTGCCATTGCAATTGTTCCTGATTCTGTTGTAATATTACTGTTGTTATTAATTATATTTATATACCTCTTTTTTCTTTTAACCATCTCAAAGCAGCTTACCTCATTCTCCTCCTCCTGCTCTCAGTCTTATTCCCACAACGACAACCCTGTGTGGTAGGCTGGACTAAGAACCTTGACTGGTCCAAAGTCACCCAACTGGATCCATGACCAAGCAGGGACAGGAACCCAGATTGCCCAAGTCCCAGTCTCCCACACTTTAACCACTATACAACACTGCCTCACACTGATAACATTTTTAAAGTATATGTTATACTTTGCAATATTTATTTATTTATTTGGATGTTGATGTACCACCCCATTTCCATAGGCTCAGGATGGTTTACAAGAGATTAAAAACAGTTGATTTTTAAACAGTTAAAATTTAGACTAAAAGGAAGCCTATGAAATAAAAATAATCTGGGAACTAATCTAGAAAGACCTGCCGGAGGAGGTACATTTGTAACTTCTTCTCAAAGGTAGCAATCTGGGATACCAGTTGCCTTTCTCCCAGCAGGCCATTCCATAGTTAGGAATATTTTGAAGGATATCACTAGTTCGATATACAAACGATAAGATTTGGGGTGGGGGGTTCATGTAACTTCCTACAGGAATTTCCCAAGGAGAATCCACTTGGACAGGTCTCTGACCTACTGGGAGCTCAGCTGCAGGGTCCACTCGGCTGTAAAAGGCCTTTTGTTTAAAAGAAATACTTCTGGTTGCTGCTCAGGTGGTTTCTTGATTAGGGATGGGTAACTCAGTCCTTCTGCATTCATTAGAAAGTCAGTTCCATCCCATTATTTTGCATTTTTTTAAAAACTGAACAAAATGTATGTTAAAACACATACTTTAATGTGCTTTATTATAAAAGATGCATTCCATCCACAATTGATTTGTATATGCATTGTATAGCTTATTATTATTACTGTTATTGAAATCTGTATTGCAAGTTTCAGGGAAATGTGAAATCTGCATTCAGCATAGTTGCATTCTGATTCAAACCCTGGTCCAGATCAGCCTCACTCATGTTAGAGTTCTCAGACGAAGAGTTCCTGAAGCATTTCTGTTCCTGATAGCAATTTGGACATGTTCTCACATTGAGGACCCCTCTAGGGAGCCCCGCAGAGGCTTTCCACCAGCCTCATGGCAATGTTTGCAGCAACTATAATGGCTTCTTGAAGTTTGTATAAAGAGTGAAGGTGGCATGCTTGTTGGTCCATCCGTAGTGCTGTCTTCTTTAGCTCTTCTATGGGAGGACCTTTTAAAACCTCTTACAACCTCTGACCAAATTCCGTTTCAGAAGACTTATGGGTGGGCGGGACGAAGGGAATGGGGAGGAATCCAAAGCCCAGGGGGCAATGCCCAAAGAACCACAAAAAGCAGCAGATGTTGACATAAGACTTTCCCTGCTGGTGACTTGGGAGAGGTCTTTAGGACTGCACAAAAGCCAGAGCAGCCACCAAACGATTGTCATTGGGGGAACGAGGTGGAAAGTTGGGGAGCGGGCAGGCTATCGAGGGGGTCATGGAGGGGCAGCTTCTCAATCCTGGTTGGCCAGGGTGGTCCTGGGTTTGAAGTCCAGCACCAGTGCTATCCTAAATCCAGGTGCCCAGCGAGGGGGCGGGGGGGGGGCTTTCTGAGGCCTGCAAAAGATGTACTCAGCTCCTGAGTTCTAGCTCCTCTTTTGTACAAATTACTATATCACAGTGATTTAAACGGCAATCTATAATGATCCCATTTTATAAACATAGCCCTTGATCAAGAGCTGTGCTCCAAATGCAAAGCTTGCAGATTTGATCCTGGGTGTTATAATTCTCGGAGATGCGGAGAATGGGGAAGGCCCCTCTCTCCAGGGCCTGGAAGTGCCAGAGTTCTCACCCTTCAGGAAGCGGGAAACGTCCTCCAGCTGAGGAATGCTGTTTTCACTGTAACCGCTGTACCTCTCCAGCAGATGGAAGGCATCCAGGTGTTCCTTGCAGGCATGGGTGGGATAGAGACTCTTCAGGGTGCTGTAAACCTCCTTCCTTCAGAACGACAGAGGACAGTCACATCTCTCCAAGACATTTGCCCCTGGCATTCCCACACCCTCAGCTCTTTCCCAGTTTTCTCCTACAGTTAGGCTGGCCTTCACAATAAGGGTGTGTTTTAATGAGGAGAAGGATGATAAATTAATGGATATGATTAATGTGGAATAGTATTAATTAACAGAAAAGTAGAACACATTGATAAATCATGCAGTAATGCATAAATAATGAAAAACTGATTGTCTCAATCATGAAAATAGTGCAAAAGATTGGTGGGGGGGAGAGATTCCCCTTTTGAGCTCCACAGCCAATGGTCTACAAATGAATGTGAGATGAGATGCAGGAGAACTTATGGGGTACAGGTACACGTAACAGCCCACTAGAACATCTGGTTCGTTCTTTACCTGGAAGTGACTAGGAAGGGAACATGCATGCTTACCAGGTGGTGATCTCTTCTGCAGTATATTCCACTCGAGGAATTGGGTCGCCACTATTAGAGGAATACAGGGTTAGTCGAACCAAGAGGAAGGAATACACTATAATAACATATGCAGTTTTTTGATGGGGGGCTATAATGCATTGTATAACTAAGTCCTGTCTTTGTCCAGTCATCCCTGAGAGACATGGACACAGAGATTATCATATTCTAAGGGACAGAACAAGGTTTAAACAGATAGAATATGTGGAATTTGGAATCACAAAACTAATTGGCTAGCTAGACACAAGAAGATGGCACAATTTCACACTGTAGACCAAGCCCTGCCTTTTGGAACAATGTAAAACCCATAAGGCATATTTATGTGGGCTAAAGGCTAGTTCTGAAAGCTGGTTCTAAAAGCAAGATTCTAGCCATCATGGTTGCAGAGGTAAACTGAGACAAATAATTGTGGCCCTAAGTATTGAATAGTGAAGGATAATAGGAATGGGAAGAAAAGCCTTACTAACTTCAACATTATACCCTTTATCAGTGAGATTACACAGGGCACTTAAGGGAACATATGCCCTTCAGTTACCCCATAGCCCAATATCTGTCTCAAACTGGGCTTTTCGGGAATAGCAGCAATAGCTCTGGCATCCACAGCACACTGCAAACACAGTGCAAGAGAAAAAGCAAAGCGAAAGGGTAAAGGGTGGAGAGCAGAGAGGCCAGTAAGGACAGGCGTCCGCAAGAAATGCCACACAGTCCAGCAAATCTTACTGCTTGTAATGGAAAGCAATTTCTGCTATCATTTTCCTCCGTTGCCGATACGCTTGGTCTGAGAATCCCTTGGAGGAAAGAACAGAGTGAGAATATGACCACACAGTTTGCACTGAACAGTTTCAATCATGGCAGTAGGCAAGCCTTGGGGTTGGTTGCTCAAGGTGAAGATGCAGCGCTATATTCAGGGAGAGAGGTGAGCTGCCTCTTTGCCAGATGTGCTTGTACCCAGAATGAGCATGCCTTTGAAGCTGGCACTATATGCCTGCTTTCTTCCTCTTGAGAAAAGCCATAGTGATGGCATTTAACTCCAGTTAAGTTAAATCAAATTGATGACAAATATTCTAATATATGTTGGAGATGTGGTAAAGAGATCGGAACTTATAAACAAATGTGGTGGGATTGTAAAAATACACAAAAGATTTGGATTATGGTATTTAAGGAAATTGGAGAAATTTTAGATATACTTAGAAATGTCACCAAGAATGGTGTTATTAATGTTGATAGAAAGACAAGATATAAATGAAGCTAAGAAAGAATTGATTGTAAGTATGATAATGGCAGTTAGGCTAGTGATAGTTCAATAATGGAAACAGAATTGGGTTTTGCAAAGGCATGAATGGTATAATGAAATATGGAACATGGTAATTAACGATAAACTGGCAACAGAAATAAAAATTAAAAGAGGAATGAAAGCAAATAAATATAATGAAATTTGGGAAGATTTTGTAAAAGCAGTACTGCTAGAAGGCAAAGGCTGTAAACCCAGTCAAGATTATATGAACTTCTGGAGGGGATATGGAAATAATTGAAGCATATTATATATTATTAATTGTTATAGCATGTGAATGGTGGTGGCATTGGTCTCTGGGATGGTGGGGGCACTAAATTATTTACTTTTATTATTGCATTTTTGTTATTATTGTTGTGAAGTATTGTGTTTATGGTTTTTTTGTTTAAAAAAATAATAAAAAATGGGGGGATTAAAAAAAGAGAGAGAAGTACCATAGTTAACCTATGGCGCTGTAAGCAGGTGGGCATGGAATATTCCCAAAGCTCTGCAAGTTTTTATACTAAGCCTGTAAAAACATGTCAAAAACTGGAAAAGGGACTATCCAATGCAATTCCATCACTAAGGTGGATTACACTGGACCAGCACAGATGAACAGAACACCAACAGTGCTTTCTGGCTGGATGGCTTTCCCCAGAAGCCCATCACAAAAGCAAGTGCTGTTGGTGTCACACTAGGCATCGTTTACACTGGTGGTGTAAACTAGAAGACAGCTGAAGTGTGTTTGGGGAGGGAAAACATGCTGAGAAGAAGAGGAGTTGAGAAAGTAGAGTTCTTTACTCACTGGGTGATCCAGGTCCAAATCAGGGTCAAATTTGGTGACCAAGTGATGGCATCTATCTAACTCAGAGATTTTTCTTGGAAACCAATGAACTGCAATCCAAAGAAAGATAGAAGTGGGGTGAAAAATGAAAGGAGCCCCATCAGTACAGAAATAACGTTCCGAGCTCAATGTATTTGACTTGACTTTGAATGCCACTTGAAAGCAGCAATGCCAGAGGCTACCCATAGGCCCTTTGCAATGTGCATAATCTTCCATGTGTTGAGATGGGTGCAGTTCAGGGTTGCTTGCTATTTCCCAAATTCTTCTGGATCATGTCAGACTTAGTATAGCAAAGCACACATCTGGCCACTGGGAAGTCTACATTCCTCCATCTTCCTCACCCCTGGAATGAGATCTTTGGGTGAAAGACTCACAGCTGGAAAGTCTCATATTGAATAGAATTGAGGATATTCTATTTGAATAAATCTGGGATAAAAGCAGTCTCTCTCTCTCTCTCCCCTCCCCCCTTCTCTCTCTCCGTCCAGGAAGAGTACCCTTCCTAAAGGTGCTTTCTCCAAATATTTGTAATGCTACTTGGAAAGGGACAATTCTGGACAGAGGTTTCACCCATGGCATTTTCCCTCTCTATAGACAATCTCTGCAATGAATTGAAAAGTCAAGAGTGAAATACCCTCCATCATGTTTCATTAACCAAAGAACGAGTCCCTTACACTTGTCTTCTTTTGTGCTCCTGACATCTTCGGAAACCCTCCTGAGGGAACTGATGAGGGTGCTCAGATCACAGCTGTGGAGTTCACATCGCACAAAGTATTCCAGATCACTTGACCCCTCATGTACTTTCTTGGTGGGCCTTGTTTCCAGATGATGGATTTTGGCTTCAAATGTCTTCAAGGGGAGAGAGAAGGAAAGATTATAACGTAAAACAAAGCCTCAAGAAGATTTCCCACCAACTGAAATGGAATGAAACATTCAATTAAAAGTTTATTTTTGAGTGAGAGCAGGAAATCCAGAAATAAAGCTCCCCCATTTCCTATGCACCAATAATCAAGCATACAGTGGGCAAACTCAGCCCATTTTTCTTCCTTGGGTTGCTGTCTTCCTAAATTTGAGCAGGAGTTCTACTTCCATCATTGAAAAAAAAAATCACCAAGCCTTCCAGCATGCACAAATTATTAATAAAAGTGAGCAGAGATGATAGCCCATTGCCAACTGTCTGCATTACATTGAAGGAAAAGAAATGGCAACTTTGCAGTATTTTATGATAGGTTTTCTCTCAACCAATGTTCTTGGAAGGTTCCCAGTCTATCACATATATCGGAAGCATTACCATTTACAACTTCAGCCATCATACTGAGTTTGTGCCTGTTCACATTCTTTTCCCACCCAATTCTGACCAGCTTACACCAAAAATGAAACATTTAGGCTAAAATAGCAAAACTTGGAAACATGGGGCAGAATATAAAAATAATTGTAAGAGAAGAGAAGATGGTACTGATGGATGACCTGCCAGATTTGTTGTTGTTGCCAAAATGTCATGATGGAAGGGGACAGGAAGATTTCCCTGTGCAAGGATGTCCATTTTCTAAGGGTCAAAGCAGGCCTTACTTTAAATCTGTGTCTAGCAGCTACATCATTTTTCCTCTTTTTTCCTTTTTCTTTTGGTTTTCAGAAAAGGCACAGGGACACTGATTCCGATCAGCAGCAGGCACATGGGCGCAAAAGCACGGAGTCTAGCATGGGGAGTGACTTGCTTTGGATTAAGCTTTCTGCACCTACTCCAGAAGTTGGCTTGGGTTTTTTGCACATAGGCGCTTGATACATGCTTAAAGTGATGCCTGATTTGGCCCAAGGTGCAGCGACAGGCAGAGGTGCCCTGTGCATTCCTGCAAGCTTCTTGTAAGGCTTGGAGATATAATGTATACAGAGCCCCTTCAAAATGTAAGGGGAAGTGCTACATGGATGCTAACTAGTCTTGTGACATTAGTTACATGAAAAACAGCCACAGAACATTGCAAGCCATTAAAGGTTTATGTTCAGTATTTTTGTCCCGATATTTGCTGCAGCATTTTCTGTACAGTTTGCAAGCAGAGGTTCCGCTCTGGCCAAGGTGCTGAATGCAACATGTCACAAAGAGGCTGGAGCGAGATGTTCCTCCTCCCTCTTGAACCCCTCAGTGCTATTTCTCTGCAAAGCAGCAGTAGGAAGTGGGCAATTTGAAGGGCCACCATTTGGAGAGGGATGCTAAGCCTCCCCTGAGACCGAAGCTCGGCTGATGATGAAGTGGTCGTGATGAGAAGTCGGGAGGATTCTTGGAATAAGTGGTGGATGAGGAAAGAATTCAGAAGCTTTCCTTCCACTTAGTGCAAATCCATACAGCCATATTGGGCACAAAACGTCTTCAGAACTATGGGTAAATCTCCGGGGGATTTGCAGTAGATCAGCCAAGGGTTCCAAAATCCGATTGTGGAGCAATAGCCCCAGCGCAAAAGCTTTTTGTGGCTGAAAAAAGGACTGGGAAGACTGGGAACAGAAGTATTTTTGTGTGTGGAGTGATTTGTGAAAACGTTCCTAGTACTGAACAAAAATTCTTGGGCTGAGCACGTGTTCAGAGGCAGTCTATCCTTTAATGCTTAGTATATTGACTCACTGGCCTGAGTCACATAAAAATTAATTATAGGTGACATGTTTGGTGGGGTGGGATGATATTGTTGTTGTTGTTGGAACTCCGGGATCCACTTATTGGAACCAGCTGAAGAGTAGTAGTAGTAGTAGTAGTAGTAGTAGTAGTAATAATAATAATAATAATAATAATAATAATAATAATATCATCCCACCCCACCAAAGATGTCACATATCATTAATTTTTTACTTGTCTTTGAAGTAAACATTGGTTGCCTCTACTGCAAAATTCCTCATGGGGTCTCTTCTATGCTGAAAATGGACATCTCGTTTCTATTTTTTAATGAGTTAAACTAGTTTCTCTTTAAAGATTCAGTAGGGAAAAAGCCAAAGTTTTCACTGAAACTAAACAACATAGGCAAAAAGGGAACAGAAGGCCATGTCAGCAGCAAATTCAATTTAGCACCAGGTTTTCTAATGCATCCCTAGGACGTTGGCCCTTCATGGCGATCAATACCTTAGCATTAATCTGACAGATCTGATTGCATTACCGTTGCTTCAGTTGTATGTAATGTAAAACAGCAGAGTGAAGCCAGCCTCCCCACAGCCTGTTTCATCATGAGGCAAATGTTATTACACCCGTCTGTTTTCATATCTTGTACCTGCAGTGCCGGAGGGATCGGGGAAATGAATCTTTCACAGTGGGAGCCTGCTGTGCACGCGTGTTTGCTTTCCTTAAGCTCTCTTCATGATGAACCAAGAGAGCTTTTCAGCTCATGTAAATTTCCCCCGCAGGATCTGAATGCCATTTGGAGCTAGCGCTGTCTTTGTCCTCAAACAACTCCGCCAATGGATTTCTCCTTCGGAGATTTTTAATATTTTTAAATTGACTACAAAATTAGCTTAATGTGCACATTCACACATACACAATCATATTCACATTTGCACACCAATTGTAGGAGTGCATGCTTGCTTGGAAATATTTGGGAGTCTTTGATAAAAATTACCTCTAATTTTGCCATATGTAGCTTGTCTGAAATTTTGGAGCTTTTCAGTGCAGGAATTCTGAAAGAAGCAAGTTTCTTCCCACCTCTAGATTACGTTGCATTAGCTTTAAGGGTATTTCTTACCCAGTATTTTTATATAAAGTATGCAAGGATCCAAGGCTTGTTGATCAGCCTCATATTCGATGTAGTTTATTAACCTTTTCTCCCCACTTCCATCCCTTTCCCATAATTTTCTGCACAGGTTTATGACTGGAACACTGTGCAAGCCCAGAGTGGTCGACTGTTAGCTTCTGTGCGGCTCCTTCTGACCCAGCCAGCAGCACTTTTCAACCCTCTTCCCAGGCTGGAAGCAAGGGGCCTCACTTGCACAGGGGGCTTTCACAGGGGGTTTCACAGGAGACTTCTGACCTGAGCAAAAGAAAAGGTATGTATTTGGCATGTCTTCACTGTCCTCTAGACAAATGGCTCTGGGTGGTTCACAACTTCTTTTAATATAAGGAAGTGTCTAGCAGTAGAGCGGTGGATCGACTGAAGAGGGCAAATTAAAATTGAAGCTTAATCCAGACAAGATGGAGGTCCTGCTAGTAGGCGGGTTAGCCTCCTGGGTAGGTGTTTCTAGCCCTGTTCTGGATGGGGTTGCACCCCCCCCCCCCCCGCAAAGGACAGGGTGCGCTTTTTGGGAGCGCTCCTTGACCCTGGAATTCCAGGCAGTGGTGAGGAGTGCTTCAGCTTTGGCTGATCCATCAGCTGTGCCCCTATCTGGATGGGCAGTGCCTGGCAGCTGTGATCCATGCCCTGGTAACTTCCCGATTGGACTATTGTAATGCATGCTACATGGGGTGGCCCTTGAAGATGGTCCAGATACATCAACTGGTCCAGAATAGAGCCGCCAGGTTGTTAACAGGGACCGGCAGGTATGAACATATAACACTGGTCCTTTTCCACATACACTGACTTTCAGTTGAAGTGCGGACCCAATTTACAGTGCTGGTGATGACCTTTAAAGCCCTAAACAGCTTAGAGCCTGGTTACCTAAAGGAGCGCGAATGCCACCCTTGGTTGCATAGCCAGAAATGTGGCTTCTAGATCGAGAGAGGTATTACTACCACTCTACACAACTATGGCGTGCCCACAACTGGAGTATTGTGTTCAGTTTTGGGCCCCTCATTACAGGAAGGATATAGCCAGGTTAGAGTCAGTGCAGCGTAGGGCCACAAGGTTGGTGGCCAGTTTGCAGGGGATGCCATGTGAGGTGAGACTGAGGGAACTGGGTCTCTTCAGCCTTGAGAAGAGGAGACTCAGAGGGGATCTGTTGGTGACATACAGGTATGTGAGGGGATGTCACACAGATAGGTAGAGACCTGTTCTCCCCTGCAAAGGAAGGCAGGATGCACTCCAATGGAGCAAAGCGCAGGGAGCCAAGGTTCCATTTGGATGCCAGGAAGCACTTCCTGACAGTTGGGACCCCGAGGGTGTGGAATGGGCTTTCACGGGAGGTGGTTGAGGCCCCATTGGTGAGGGTGTTCAAAGATAGGCTGGACATGCACATGTCATGAGCGGAGCTAGCTGGAGCTGGGGGTCAGACTAGATGGCCTGGGAGGCCCTTCTGACTCACTCTGTTTCTATGTGCCTGCCTACCCCTTAAGATCTGGGGCAGACAGCCTTCTCTGAGTGCCCTCCCTGAAGGAGATTAGGAGGGTAACTATCTGGTAAAGTGGTGCTGTCACTTTATTCTTTTCGGTTCCAGGCCAAACCCTTTTCATTTTCCCAATGTTTTAAGACCTGACAGTTTTAATTGGGGTTTTATTATTAGTTAAATTTTAGGATGCTGTGTTTTAAATTTTTTACATTTTGTATTGATAAACCATCCTGAGAGTTCGGTAATGGGACAGTCTACAAAAGTTTTAAATACATACATACACACAAGGGGCTCTAGGACTTCTGAGTGTACCTAAATAGGGGGCCAACATGAAACCCATGGGCCAAGCAGGGCCTTCCTTCAGCCTTCTCCATTCAAGCAATAACTGACAGGCACTTAAAGGCCTTAGAAGGCCTGACTCCCACCAAGGCTTTCTAATTCCACATCCTGGAGAGGAAGGTCTTCTAAGAAACACAAGTAAAGTCCTGCTGGATTAGAGCAAAGGCCTACCCAGTTCAGTACCTTTTCCCCCCTCATTGGTCAGGCCTTCCCATAATGACTGCAGAACATGAGAACATGCCTTTCTAGCACCTTCCACCAAAGTGGTTTCACTAAACTCTTCTACCTACAGGGAAAGAAGACAAGTTGTATACTTTTCATTGCTTGGTGAGAGACATACATACTCCTGATTCCTTACACGTGATAAGGCATCACTTGATATGAGTGAATTTGACTCCACATAATAATTTGTGCAACAGAGACTTCATCTTTCCTTCAACTTAATTTCAGATACCTACAACCAGGTGAATGAGGCTGTCCTTTATCACCATGAAGCGTCCCCTTGGCTTAGCCAAAGAGGCAACATTCCCTGCTCACCTCAAATACTTTAAGTGCCCGGGATGGCAGCGAAGCCTTGGATCCCTTGAGTGTGAACAGGAGGTTCAGCATGGCCATTCCATCTTTCTCTTCAAAGACAATGCTTTCAGCCAATTCGGCAGCCTCAGAGGCCGCTGCTGCCGCTGCCGCTGCTGCCTCTCTCTCCTTTCTGGCATCTTCAATGAGGCTCTGTCGTCTACCAATGAATTGTGGTGACTGCAAGAGGAATCCATGGAAAGAAAAGAGTTGTCATCCTGTCCCAGAAGGCCTTCTTCTCTTCACATCTTTAAAATTTGTCTAAATAGAAACTCAAGAAGTCTTTGTAGAGAACCAGCAAAGCCCAGTCACCACAGACTTGAAAGACTTCTATTCATATATCAGATCAGCCAGTATCAGCCTGGATGTTCCTGAGCAAGCCTAATCATCATTCAAATCCAATCATGATCTCCTATGACCCTCAGCTAATTAGTTTACTGTAACTGTGGAGCTGCCCATCCATTTTGCTTGAGATGATCTGTAGCTTTCCATTGCCTTGTTAAGTGCCTGAAAGTTTAACGAAGCATTTTTGGTTTGGTTTGCGTGCATTTATAAGTGCTTTTAACAAGAAGACAATAATAGCAACTCCTGACTCGGCTTTCAGACACCCAACAGGCAGCTGAATTCAAAAGCACTAAGGGAGGAAGTCGTAGTTAAGGCCTCCGTGGGGCTTCCCAGACAGCTCCGGCAGCTGGAGATGCTTGCAAGGACAGAAGGGGGTGCAAAACATAAAACAAAGGCCATGCCTGCCACCAGCACCTCACCAGCCATCCCCTTACAGTGACGTAAGTACTGCCCCCCGAGAAATATCTCTGAAAATCCCCACGAAAGAGGCCTCAGATGACTTCCTCCGTCACAAGGAAACAAAACGAGCAAGTAACTTTCTGGCACAGCCCTGCTAGGAGCAAATGTGCAGGAATCGTTTGCACTGTTAGTCCTGTGTAGAACAGAGTCATTGAAATGCATGGCATTTCAGTTAGAGGAACTTTGGTTGCAGGCCATTGGATACAATCCATTCAGAAGCCCAGCTCAACGTTTCCCAAATTGTACAGTCTTAGAACTGCAGTTACCAGAGCCGAGGTGGCATTTTGTATTCTGCACATCCTTTGCATCGTCGTTGTGCCAGTCGGACTGGGGGGAAGCACATACACACACATGTATCCCCCCGCAAGCAAACAAACCCCAGAACAGAATGATTTCCAACTGAACTAAGTGGAAGGCAGTACAGCCAAAATCTAATAACAGATACTGCCTTAAGTAGCTTTCAATAAAAATATGATACCAATCTCTGTTCCTGAAATCCTGCCTGACATGCTGTTTTTCAGGCTGTGATTCTAGGCACATTTATTAGGAAGAAAATAGAAAAACATCACAACAAGACAGCCATGTCACAAAGTCATAACACTGAAGAAGAGCAAGTGGATTCCATTTCAATTGAGCTTACTTTCTGGTAAATGTATCAAAGGAATTATGAAGTTTTGTTCTGCCATGCTTTTTATGATCTTACTGCTCTGCTGCTTATATATGTTTTGATCTGATGTGGCATTTATGATCTATGCTCAGTTTATATTTTCAACATTTTAATCATAAGCTACCTTCTGACAATTGGTCCTAAAATAAATAAAATAGCGTTAAATAAAAGCTCTCATTGGTGATGCAGATCTTTTCCCTAAACATCCCTCCCTGCCAACTGAATTGCATCGTTCCAGTGAGGCGTGAGAAGCTCAGCCTCAAACATAATCGGCTCCCAGTGACATTGCTCAGCCAGTTCTAAGTGTGCAGCTCCGGGTGAGAACGGAGGGTCTGCGGATATGATGCAAAAGGAGCCTGAAAAGATCCCATTTTGCTGGGTAAGTTGGGACTTCTGTTTCGTTTGCCTTTGGGGAAAGGAGCATGTCTGGGAACAGACAATGGTTTTTAAGTGAATCGCCTGCAAATCCAATCAATTATTTTTTCCTGCTCTCACCTCCACCCACCAACCTGGATTTGAAGCACCAGAAAAACTTGTGAACTTGTAAACTGCAGTGACAGAGCTGAGTGCACAAAGAGTGCCTGTTCAAGATCACTTCTGGGACAATGATGGTCAAAACGTCTCCGTCATGCACACTGCTACTATTGTGCTGTTTCCTTGATGCCTTTGTTACTGCTGCATTTGAGGATAGCAAATAACTTCAGGAGAAACTTCAGTGTTTCATATATACATACATGCAAAAACAACCTCCAGTCCTTGGTGACTTTAGCTGGATGTAATTTTCATGTCCATCTGCTCATTTGCCATGTAAAATGCCACCTTCCACTTCTCATACTTTTCATAGCAGCAACCTTTTAACATTCTTCCTCAACCTGGAAAGTTTTTAAGGACCTTCCACACACATTCAGCGGACCCATGGCTCAGTGGCAACTGTTTCCCAGGCACACTTCAGCCAAGTTGTAAACTGAGCATTAACCTCTTCATCTGGCATCAGCTGCTTGAAATGGCCATGTGGTTTGGAAGGAATGCCGTGTGGTGGCACAAATACATCAATTCATTGATTGCATGCCGTTCTCGGATCAGATACCAAATAGGCAGGATGGGCGTGTGATTTTCAAGCAATGTGTTCTTGTTCTATGCATGGTCTGTGTGCTACTGTTGATGCCGTAAGTGGGGACAAACTTTGAGAAGGGCAGGCCGTGACCCATGGACTCTGTGTACCGGCTGGCTGCTTTGTTTGGGATGCTGCTGTGGAAAGCACGGTTTGTAGGCTGGGTTTGGATCCCAGCCCTCAGTTGAGCTGGGGTCTGTAGGTGTCCACTGCTGTCCTCCTGAGGAGGGACATACCAGAGGCTCCTTGAAGGGAAAGGAAAGGGGGACTTGAGTCTGTGCTCTCGTCCTGGTGTCCCCACTTTGCCAAGCACGTGTGTTGTGGGAACATAATCAGTCACCCGCGTCATGATTGGCGAATGGCGGAAGGGTTGCCAGGGACGCTGCAGAAATGCGTTCTGGGGCTGCCGTGCTCGTTCTCTTAGCATTGCTTTGCTTTCCACTTTGCTGCTGGGATAGAAGAGGATTGTCTCTAGAAGAGGAGTCACACAAATACACTCATGTGTATTTGAGGCTACTTGTTTGGCAGCAGCATGAAGGAGATGTGCATACAAGTATGTGCACACAGGGCTTCTTTATGTAGGAGAAGATCCTCAAATGGCCAAGAACCCCCCCCCCCCCCCTGTGGAGAAGGCGCCCTGTGCAAATGCATCCGGTGCACACACCCCCTCCTCTCTTGGGCGAGAAATGGAGCCTGCTGGGTTGTGTGGCCGGGACGCAGCTCACACGCAGCAGGTGTGTCCAGCGGGCATCATCCCTCCTCCGGTCTTGCATCCAGTGATGTGTCAGCCCCCTTATTGTTTCACTGATGTAACACCAGTGAAACTAAGGCATCGTGGCCGCCCATCTGTGGATCCATAGCGTCATCTTGGCCAGACAGGGAGTTTGTTTTCTAGAGCCCACTTTCCCCATACAGTATGATTTCCTTATTATCATTATCATTATTCATTTCATTTCAACTCTATACTGCCCATAGCTGAAGCTATGCCAGGCTTTATGCTGCAACATTTCTCCCTTGCTTAACATTTGCAGAAACCAGAGTGTAGATAAACCATCCAAATCTGGTGCTATCCAGATGTGTCGGACTATATCTCCCATCAATGGTGATGCTGTGTGGGGATAATGGAGTCATAGCCCAATGCATCTGGTTGGCATCAAATTTGGGATGACTGGTATACTTCACATGAAAAACCAAAACGGCCACTCCTCAGTTCTAACCAAATATTTATTTATTTAGTTATTTTATTTAGAAAATTTCTATGCCGCCCCATTTGCCGAAGCCTCGGGGCGGCTCACAAAACATCAATTAAAATATAATACACTAAAAATATAAAACGAATTAACAATATAAATTGTTGATTGTTGATTGTTCATTGTTAATGCACATGCATGCACACACTCCAAAAAAAAAAAAGAGGGGGAGGCATATGCCACTGTTTAAAGTATGTGGAAAGTTAAGTTCCCAGGAGTGAGAGGTCAGATGTACACAAAACATTCAATGCAAAATTGAGTAAAGGTATACAGAATTGCTTGTCAATAGAAAAACACTTGGCTGTACGCTTTGCAAAATGGCGAAAGTGTACCTATTATGTAAATTCACCTTTTCTTGTATGAGTTATGTGAAGAAGGAGGTAAATGTCAAAACGCAGCCATGACATCATGTGAAGGAAGTTTTACAGGTTAGAATGAGTGACTGACTGCATCTGCAATAGTGACCCAGAAGATGGGCTATGTGTCTCTGGAACTCATCATGCCCATCACATAACAAGCTTCCCCAGCTTCACCAGCAATTGCCCACAATCTGGACTGCAAGCAGGGAAACTGAGGAAGTAATATCCCATGTGATCATATGACTAAAGGGCAAAGAAGGGGAGAATATTCACCTGTGGCTGCCAGCTCTCATAGAAAGTGTAACTTTGAGGCTGGATTCAGACTAGATAACCCAAAATACGGGCTGAGTATGGGTTATTCTTGAGATATGGGTTGCTGTTGAATATGAGTTATCATGTTTTCTGAACCCAGTTGAGCTAAGTTGTGCTGGTGTTATCGACACAAACAACCTATGAAAAGAACTCACTGTTTTGCACTTGGGTTGTGAACTGTGGGTTGCTCAGCATGGTTTTCAAAACTTATTTTCAGATTCAAAATGTTATATCAAAAGTTCAACATTTGTCTGCCTTGAATTCTGTCAAATGCTGACTCTGTCTGCATAACATTTTGGTTTTAAAACTAATGCTGAACATCCAATATAAAATGGATATTTGCATACCTGGAGAATATTTGAAGAAAAATCACGATCATTATTCTCCGTGTAGAAAATGGAGAAGAACCTAACTCTGCTGCAACCGTCTATAAATTTGTCAGAACAACATGGAAACTGCTTAATCAGTTCCATCAGATTCAAACTATGGTGAGCCTAAAGACTTTATCTAAAAGAGCCAAGTGTGGTGTGAACAAGGTTTAGAACACCACCCTAAATGATCCTAAACTGGGAGTGAGTCCTGTTGAAATCAGGGGCTTATTTCTGCGTACACGTGCATCAGATTTTTTCTGTGATTGTGTATTATTGTTGTCTGACACAATAATTCTAATCATGTCTGTGAGAAGTGATTCTCTCTGCTTTGACTGGCACTTGCTGTTTGAGTGTGTTCAAGGTTGTGACATAAAATTCTGTTGGTTTAATGGTTGCTTTATTTTAAATGTTATAAAGTGTTAAATTGGCTAGTAATCAACCTTGAGTCCCAGGCATGCAGAAAGACCAGATAAAAATTAAGCATAAAAGAATTAGAATTATAGTGTGTAAGGCACAGGTTTTGCCCTGTTCTTGGAAGGAGGAACCTTTTGAACAGAGTAGCAATCAGGGTAAAGGTGACTGTAAGTCAGCAGAGAATGATGGAGTCCCTTATAGGTTGCATTTGCAGGTCCAGTCCTAGTGCCAACTGGTCTGCAGATAATGCCATGTCTTTGCCAGATTTTGAGGCTGCTCCTTCTTTGATCAGCCTGCTTTGCATCCTCATAACTGAAAGTGCTACAGTCCCACCCTCTTCCATGAATATAAATTCCATGATTTCTTATATCAGCATTAGTATTTGAGGACAAGGATGTCATTCCCTCAGGAGGTAGATTGATGCCTGCCACAGTTAATGCAACTAGCCCCAGAATCAGCCCCCAAATCAATGTGGCATGCCAAGGGTATTTATCAGGAATGCAGCTAAGGGTGCAAGGCAGCAAAAAGTCCAGGGATGCCCAGCATTCCTGAGTTTGAGGACCTAGGTGAGAAAGGAAAAACTGGCAAACTTGGGTTCACATCCATGCTCACCCACACACCTAGCCTGCTTTGCAGGGGTGTTGTGAGATGAACATGGGCTAGCTTTCAATGTATCCTTTGAACTCCTCGGAAGAAGGTAGAGTTAGGGAGATGTGATTGAGCAGCTACTTGATTTACATTTCAGGTATCCTAACCTGGTGGCTTGGAAACTTGCTTGTTATATCTTTTGACTGTAGTCTCCATCTATTGACCTTTTTGTGCCAGTGAAAGCAAGGATCAAAAATGATCCTCTGATGTGTAGTTGTAAACCACATAGAACTGATTAAGAAATGAAGAAGAGGAGTGAAAGAATTGAAGAAGGAAGAAGGAATTGAACTGCAAATGTCTGAAATTGAAGTTAGAGCAGGTGTTCTGACTTCCATTGCACCTCTGAAGCTTCTATAAACCAGAATAGGAAGCTCCCTTTGGTGTCCTAATCAATCATTCTTAAAAGTTAAAGAATAGTCTTAGAAGAAATGACCTCCAGTATCTTTCATACAATTCCCTTCTTTTCCTAGTCTCTAGAATCATGCAGAATAACCTGAGAATTCTTTTTAAGGGAAGCTTGGTGCTTTTGAAAGTAAAACATCATGCATCCAATTAAACCCCAAACATTGAGACACACCTTTTGCATTTGTCTTATTTTAATTTTAAGGAAAATAAAAGCCACCATTTCTTCCCTGCTGCTATTCTCTCATGAAAATTAACAGCAGGGCTAACGGTGAGACCCAAAGAGCTAGTAAGGCTCTCAGAATTAGCTTTTGCTGGTCAGGTGGAAGTTCTGATGGCGTAGATTCTCCTTTGTTGCAAACTGCCTTTGAAATTTGTCCTGGATTTAAAAGCTTCTTGCCGCCCAAGTACAGGGCTGCCTGCTGTTTGGGCGAGGAGAGTGGGGGAGTCTCTTGAACAGCCCTGATGGAACTCATTTTATGGCTATTTGAATCCTAGCCCTGACTAACGCAGTATAGAACTGTCATTCCAATGTCAGAGAACGTGTGATTTCCACTGCAGGTTGTAAAGGCGATGATCCAAATTGTGCGTAATGGGCTCCGCATGTGTGTGGTGGGAAGACAACATTGACTGGCTTCCTGCAAGCATTGAATACCGTGTGTTTGTGTGGGAGCATCACATGCAGCATGAACAAAGGGCACGGTATGGAAGGGAACAGAACTGACTTTCACAAAGGAAATCAGCAGAATTGTAACTGCAGTCAGCAGAGATGTTCACCCAAGGAGAATCTGCCTGGACCTTCTTTTATCTAAAGTTCAGGAGAAAATAAGAATTCAAAACATAGGAAACTCCCTTATGTTGAATCAGAACTTTGGTCCATCTAGCCCAGTAGTTTTAACTTTCCAGGGTCTCAGGCGGGAATTTTTGAAACTTTCCAGTTTTAACTTTCCTAACTTCCCAGGGTCTTAGGCAGGGATTTTTCCAGCCACATCTGAAGATGCTGGGATTGAATCTGGGACAGTGTATACAGTAGGTATGTGCTGAGTTAGGTTCTTGTGCAGCCCCCATTCATTTAATTAGGGGTTCTGCAGAAAACATCCCAGAGGAAGCCCTCCGTGTGTCAGACCACTTACAAAAGCTGTTAAGAAGGCAGTGTGGATCACAGACAACTCGCTGAGAATCTATCCATGTGCAACTTCAGGAAAGCTATATGTGAACATAAAGATGCTGAAATCTACCATCTAAATGCCGAACTGTGCTACTCTGCTGTAAGAAAAGATAGGCAAGCCATTCCTGATTCCACACACCTTCTCTATTTTTCGTATTCTGTGCCAGGTTTTATGTGGATATCTGCATGTGTATATTTTTGCATATTTTGTATCATTTTTTCCTCCTTTAAAAATGCATCCACCCATTGACTAATGTGCACATTTTTAAGGGACTTGTGCATTTTTCTTTTCAAACATGCACATTTCATTGAGCATGCTTATTTTAATTCCATAGAATTTTACAAATTCTGAAATATATGGAATATACCAAATGTACGTGTTGGTTTCTGGGGTATGCAGTTTAAGACCACTGTTTGTAATACCTCGCAGAGCAGATCTTTCACACATCCCTACATGGTGCGTGATGTTGCTGCAGTTGCCCAGCAGCAGCAGTGTCCACATGGCGCATGGGGAGAGAGTTTAACACAGAGCTGTCCAGAGCATGGTCACTACAAATTTTGCACCCTGAAGCTTGCATTTGTTGGAGAAGGCAAGCCATCCAGGGCATCAGTACGGCATCCCTCCCATGGCAAACAGCAAGTTCTTAGAGAAAAGGGGCAATTTTCATTTGGGCTACAGCAGAGGCAGAAAACTTATGGACACAGACAGAAGAAAGTCCTGGACCTCCCCAGCATTTCCCAGCCAACATTCCCATCTGCTGCACGAGGGTGTGTGGACGCACACCTGTTGTACATGCATGGTCACTGTGCCCTCAGTCCTGGTTCCCTCTCCCTGTCTCTATTCAACAAGAAACAGTCAAAGAAGCAGGCAGAAGGCTTGTTCACACAGGCTTGCCCACCCATCACTCAGTTCCTTTGTGCTGGATGGACAGCAGCGGAGTGTGTGAACAGAGTCAGTTGAGCATACAACGAGTTCTGCTGTTGGCAGAAGACCTTTGATGACCATTCACACATGTGAGTTATTGACTGAAGCAGCAGTCACCGAGTGTTAAATATGCATGTGTGATACATCCTGAGGTCTCAGTAATATATTCATTTATTGATGTCATCTTTCTACTGCCTAATGGTTGAAGGGCTCTCTTTTGGAGAATGTGCTAGTTATGAACTATGCAGGATCTTACCAACCAAACTGAAGAATTCATGGCTATGAATACCAATGATGTCGTACTCCCAAACTGGTTGGCAATATCCGCATAGCCCTAAACTGGCTCTGGGAATTTAGCTTAACCTGGTTTAGGTATATCACACTCATCTTCATCATATGTCCCCCTCTGTTTTATCCTCACTAGAAGGATAAAAGGTAGGTTAGGCTGAGAGAAGCTGGAGAGTCACAGTCCCCAGGTGCATCTTAGCCAAATGAGGACTATAACCTGAATCTCCGTATCCCAGTCCAGCATTCTAACTACTGCACCACACGGCTCTTCGTCAAGCTGCCGTGGGTTTTTACGCCCTCTTCTACTTGCATGTCTACTGTACACAAACATCTTGAGTTAGATATGAAAATTTCCCACCACAGTAGGAGAAATGATCTGATCACAAATGGTAACATTTAGCAAGTTGGTCTGGTCATTGTCTCGTGGGATTGATGGGAAGGGAAAGGAAAGGAAAGGAAAGGAAAGGAAAGGAAAGGAAAGGAAAGGAAAGGTCACTGCTTTTGATGATACTTGCAATAACCTCTCAGTCTGATGCTTCAGAATTGAAAGACCTGCAAAGTAACTCAGCTTTAAATAACAATAATAAAAATACATATCGTGACATTATTCTAGTCTGAGCCTAATTCTTCTCATTCTTCTTGTCAGCAACCCATCATTGCCATTCTATATTATTTTTCTTTAACATCTTATTTTTGCATATAGAAGGAACGTACTCTTTTTCTTTCTCACCGCCAGCTGCATCGCCCTTGTGTACAAATTAGCAGCACAATTCTTAAAACTGTTCTAGTGGCTAGTTTTGTCCAGCCTCGGGGTCCCCCGTTCCCAGAACGATGGGCTAGAGATCACGCAAGATTTCTTCTCCACCAGCCTGCCTGCCTGTCACTGCCAACCAGCTGGAGCGGCATGGTTGGAGGTGGCAGGGCTCAGAGGGGTGAGGAGGGTCTCTTCTTACCATGATGGCCTCTGCCTGCTTGGAGTCCAGCTCTGAGACCGCCCGCCGGAAGCCTTTGGCTGAAGAACTCGAAGAGTTTGGGGTTGGCATCCTGGCTGGTGCCCTGGCTCAGCATTCAGCTTTGCCTTCCCTTCTCTGGCTGGGCTTTTATAGGGCAAGTCTGACGTCAAAGACCCTTTCTGATCCCCCTCTGCCCACCTCCCTCTCTTCAGCCTGAGGGAAGGAAAAGGGGAGGGGGAGGAAATGCAGAGGAAAGGAGCACTTGTGTCCCATTAAATCTAATTGCGGCAAAGATTGCAGGCACCCAGCTTCCAGGAGCCTCCTGCTGCTTCCTCTTCTGGACCCCGACGTACCTGCGAGGTGACTCTCGTGCCGTGGGCTTTGCTGCAGCTCACTCTTCCTCTGGGTCTGCTGTGTGCTCCTTGTGGCTCAACTCCAAGGTGTGCATCTCCACCCTGCAAAACAACAGCAGAGAAGGAGAAGATGAAATATGCTGAAAGGGGCAGTTCCCTCTGATCGTAGGAGTCTAGAGATAGAGAGGCAAAGAAAGGGGATTTCAATAGGTCTGGGGGTCAGTGGCCAGATTTCGCTGGGGAGCAGGCTGGGGCACTCGGTGAGATCCTCAGTGGCACCGAGCATGGAGCTTCTATCCACAGCACTGGCCAGTGGGGTGCAGAGCAGTCTGCCTCTGATCATCCACAGCTGCACAGGAGAAGGAAATCAGGCGCTGACAGAGCCCAGGAGGGCCAAAGCTGGGTCTTTGTGAAGTGCATATCCGGGGCTCGTTCCTCCTGATGCAGTGAACTCCCAAAGACCAGATCCCTGATGCAAAAGGGTGTTGCTCAGTTGCTCTTATTTCAGCAGGACTGTGCTGCTTTAGTGCTTCTGAACATACGGGCTCACTTCATGATTGACGGCCACTCATCCTCCGTGAAGAAAAGGTGCAGCCAACCACACTGTTGGTAAGGCTGACTCAGCCGTGGTCACCACCTCCCCCCCATTCTGGGTTATGGAATGCAATTATCCAGGGAACTTCTGGGCACCCATGTTTATTCCATTCAGCACCAATATAAGGCTTAAGATCTCAGTTCCCTGATGGAATACATCCATCTGTGGGTGTCTGCCCATGCCCTCTGGACATCTCACATCCTTACCCATGTGCCCCTTCTTTCTAACATTCAGAGGAAGAGGCCATCATTCAGTGCCAAGCACATGCACTATGTGCATCAGTGCGCAAGTTCAACCGACAGGTAGGACTGGCAAAACCAAAGCCCTGGAGAGTCACTGCCAGACAGTGTTGACAATGCTAAGTGAGTATAAGGCATTTTTCTATGATCAAGAAGACCAATCATCATGAATTGGATCCATATTAGTCACACTTAGAGCAAGCCCATTGAAATCAATGGAACGTAAGTGAGTCATGACTGAGATCCCATTGATTTCAATGAGTCTGTTTTAATTCTGAGTAAACCTGGATCCAATCCAGTTACTGGACCCTTATTACTGCTAGGGAAGCAGATGTGCCTGGTAGTTCCAATTAAACAGAACATGGTGCATTCATGGCCTTTTCTCAGTTTTTGATAGCCAGGATAGTGTAGTGGTTAAGAGTAAGGGACTGGGACTCAGAAGATCGGAACGCTGGGCCACACTCAGCCAAGGAACTCCCTGGGTGACTATTCTCAGCCCACCCTGCCTCACAGGTTTGTTGTTGTGAAGACAAGATTGAGAGGGGGAGACTTGAGCTCCCTAAACAGGAAAAATGGTTGGATATAAATATAATAAATAAATTTAGTTTGCACTATTGGAACTTGTAATGACTGAAACAGAACTGGCCGCTCACATGTTGCTTCTGTGAATGTAGGGTGTGGTGAAATCCTGGAGTTGGCCCTCAGTGTAGGTGGCAGGCCTCTTGTCCCTTCTATTCCACAATCTTAGCCTTTCAGCTGTTATCGCCCTATCAGCAGCAAGAAGGCCATTAGCAACTCTGATATTTGCATCATGTAGATACCTCAGCATGTCTCTTATCTGTCTATCCATTCAGTGCTCCTGCCAAGTGTGATCTGAGTATTTGATTAAGTAGTCTTCCTCTCCATGAAGTGACACAAGCTGGTAACAAGAGTTTGAAGGGAATTATGTATGAAAGAAGGCCACCCACTCTTTGTTCTTCCAACATCTGAACAAAAAAGATGGTATCTGCAGGAGTACAGGAGTACACACATTAAGGAATTTATCTGATGTGGTTTGTGAAACAAGAAGAAAACAGAAAACAACCCTGAGGGACTGGCTTAGCAGAACCACTCAAAAGGAAGAGAAACAATTCAGACTGTGCTCAAACAAAGGGCCAAAGGAGATAAAAGAAGTGGCATTATCAAGTACAACAATGCTAATCCTTTGGATGGCTGCTTTTCCTTCAGAGCACTGTGTAAGAGATATAAAAGAGAGAAAAATAGGATAGGAGTGTTCACATTTAGGCCTTCCAGGCATTTCCATTATGATTTTGTATCTTAAAATGCTGTAATACATGCCTTCACTGAAAAACTTTAAACTGGGGTTTATTAACTGAAAAGGCTTGGGAAATGACTTAACATTCCATGAATTTGCAAGCAATCAGTAGACTTGTAGCACAAGCAGTATTTCTTTGAGATTCCTGGTGGTGCTCTCCTGAGAACTGTCACTGCACAATATCTAGAGTAGCAAGCTTTCATCTACCTCCTCACCTGTAGCTCCTTCGACAAAAGTTTGGTTTTCACCTCTTCTGGTCCTCCATCTTGCCACCTCGCAACCACTGGGACTGTTTGTGTTAAGAAGTAGGTCAATTGGTAGGTCTTGGCATGTGAAGGAAAGACCTCAGTGTTCTACCCACCATCAATTCTTTGCTGACTATAAAAATCCCAAGGAGCAAGATGGAGATTTTGAAGACTGGGTGAACCATGCCGAGGCCATTGTAGCAGATTGGGAGGTTATAAAAATAAGCAAGTCAGCCAGGCAGAAAAATTTTCAGGACCATGGACAGCTCCCTGGCGGCCAACATGCTCTGGCAACCGCCAAGGCAAAATGCAGTCAGACGTAGCTAGGTAGGTCCTGAAAACCTCTTTCAAGACTCAGTGTGGCATCAAACTCTTAAAGAGCTCATGATCTGATTAGATACTGTGTTTCTAATGTACGTATTTCTCAACCATTTTTCAAGACCATACAGTGGACTTCTCAAGACAGTTTACAACATAAAATTTGCAGCTGAGTACAGTAGACTCTCGACTATCCAGTTCACGACTATCCGGCCTCCATACTATCCAGCCTAGTTAAAAAATAACTATCAATGAACAGTAAAATAAGTTTAAATACTTTTTGTAAGAATTAAACCTACATTTTATGTTAATGTTTTGTTTATTTTAAAAGTGTATGTATTCATACTGTACAGTGTACATGATTTTGTTTCCTGCAATTAAGTTAGACATTATAAAATTTATCTTAAAATGTGTACAATATTTTTATCCTTGGACTTCCTTTTTCTGTAATAAATTTTTAAAACGTACAGTGAAGTACGTAACAAACATTTATAAAGTACTGGCCTGTACTAAGAGGTCAGAAAATATGAATAAGAGCGGGTTTTGGTATAAAAAGGGTGTTTTTAATGGTATGAGTGGGGTAGGAAGTGAGCATTTATAGAACTCTGGCCTATCTGGCTTTTTTGTTATCCGGCCTGCCCTTCCGCCACATTAGGCCAGATAGTTGGGGGTCTACTGTATCAAGAAGTCCATAAAAATCACAAAATGCTGATAGCATATTTTATACATGATTCTTGGTAATGATATGTAAACCACTTGGAAGATTTATTATATTAAGCAATATCTAGAATTATTCTTAAAAATGAAATTAATTAATTTGAAAGGCAATTTGAAATGAACCTGTCACAAGAACAGCACATTAAAAACTTCAATTGAAAGCTAAAAGAAATGGGGGGGGAGGGGGGGTTTACATAAAATCAGCAACAGATGGCATCTCTCTTGGGAGCATGTTCCACACTGAAGAGTCCATCTCTTGAGCCCGCCAGCCTACCAGACTTACAGGCCTTAATCGTGTGACAGCAACGAGGTCTTTAAGTTACACACATGGCTGTCAGGGACACTAAGAATTGTAGTAAAAATGTATGGAGGGCACCATGTTGGGGAACACTGGCTCACATGATTCTTACCTCTTCTCATTTTATCCTCAGAACAACCCTATAAAATAGATTAGTTTGAGAGATACTGCCTGGTTCAAGCCCATCCATTTAATTTTATGATTGAGTAGGAACTGAATGAGTCACCTTCTGATTCTAGTCCAACATTAAAACTGCTACCCTAGCCTGGTTTGCAGGACAAAGTGGGAAGTAGCCTGAGGAAGTGAAGGTTGCTGGAGACCTTAAGCTGAAGAAAAGAGAAGCCAAGAAGAAAACAGGACAGGGACAAAATAACGTACTGCATAGCAATAGGGAGGCTATGTGCAGTTTGTGCAGAAAGGACTGTGAGCGAGGAATCAGCCTGAAGCCCTGACAGGGTGGTAGTATCTTCAAAAGTTATGTAGAAGTTGAATTCTGTCTGTTGTAGCTTCTGCACTCAATACCATGGATCCTCAAACTACGCCCCACAGGATGGAGCCAGCCCGCCATCACCATCCACCTGGCCCGCACTGCTGTTCGCTGGCCATGCTTGCTGCGCAGGCGGGGAGGTGGTGGCTCGCTCGCTCGCTCGGAGATGGTCTCCAAGCGAGCAAGCCGCTGCCACCACCTGCCTCTTGTACACGCGCGCTTGCCGCTGCCTCACAGCGCAGGCGGGGAAGCGGAGACTTGCTCGCTTGGAGATGGTTTTGGATTCGCTGAGAGATCTCCGAGCAAGTGAGCCACCGCTGCGTGTGCCTGATGCCGCCTTGGGCACGCCCAACGGCAACTCACCGGCCCCTTCCTCCAGGCACCCCCACCTCACTGGCCCGCAACGGTCACTGCAGCCTTTCAGCTGGCCCCCTATTCAAAAAGTTTGAGGACCCCTGCTCTATTCTGTAGAGCAGAATATTTTTGGCAGCATCCCTGAGATCCAGTGTGTGTAGAAGAATAA